ATGAATGATCACCTCATATTTTGCCCTACCGTACAACATCATTCTTTGGAATGGTGACCACCTCCCACACAGCATCCTTTAAAAAACCGATCAACCTAGATTTGCCTTCGCACACAAAATCATACAGGGTTATAATAATCCTAGATTTACCCTCCCACACAGAATCCTAAAGAATGATCAACGTAGATCAACCCTTCCACACAGAAGCCCACAGAATGATCAACGTAGACTTACCCTCCCACACAGAAGCCTAAAGAATGATCAACGTAGACGTACCCTCCCACACAGAATCCTCAAGAGTGATCAAAGTAAATTTACCCTCCCACACAGACTCCTAAAGAATGGTCAACGTAGATTTACTCTCCCACACAGAATCCTAATGAATGATCAAAGTAGATTTACCCTCCCACACAAAATGTAAAGAAAAAAGATCAACCTAAATGTACCCTCCCATACAGTGAGGCCTTGACTAATGCGAACGACGGGAAGTTGCCCGCCTACCACACGAACATAGGGGCCCCATGCTAATCAGTACTATAAAAAGGGCCCTTGTCCGTACCTTCATCCGTTTTGAGCATACAGGGCCAGACCTATATGTTATACTATATGTTATAGACCCTTCGGCACTCGGTGAATTATATGGTCAACACTACGCCGCCCGCCTTTAACTCTCCATGACTATATCTGGTACCCATCTAAAGATGGGTCGACCTGGAAGCCAATGTCATTTTTTGACAAAAATATGAATGCATTTGGAAGTCGAACCCACAACCTTCATACTAGCCGCTACATCAGGGCGGCTCCCCTAAGCTGTATGCAACAATAAATTATTTGGCAATTGTGAAGGAAGGCCGCATCCGACGCAGGGCTTTGCCCAAAAGGCTATTATGCTGTTAACGGAAATCTATCATAAGTGCAACCTATCTCTGGCAATTATTCGAGACAGTCCCTAGTTCAATCAGCTTAAGCAACAAACCACACACACCCACCCACACACACACACCCACACCCCACCCCCCACACACGCACGCAGGCACGCACGCACACACACATACACACATACATATATACATACATACATACATACATACATATACACAAGCCATCTGTACATACCCATATTTAAGTATCACAAGCAACCAAACAACTAGTCATCAGTTGACATATGTGAACAATTACCCGTATTACAAAACAAAATGTCCAAAAAAAAAAAAAAAAAAATGCACCAACAACATTTGGGGAAACAGCAATAATTTAAGGAGTCTATTAACAAGACTAAATTGAATATGTAAAAAAAGCAGTAGCAATAAACCCGTACTGAACAACACAATGCTTACCGTCATATCGGTGGCAGCGGCTTTGGAAACAAAGATACATACATAATTGCAAAGCAACACACAAAACAGAAGTCAATGCGATATGCCAAAAATTGTCTACATATAAAACAGAACAACGTGTGAATACAATAGTCGAGAAAATATACACAAAGTAGCAATACTATTGTGTCTCCTGAGTTGGCTGTCCGCCACAAAAAACACGGCATGACTTGAATAAATGCGAACGTTCTATAGGACACAAACTTACTGCAAAATGAAAAAAAAAAAAATTGAAAGGAAAAAATCGGTACTTTAATTTAAACGACCCCCATCTCGTCGGCTTCGAGATTTGGTAGAGTAATCCACCAGAACGTCCCATAGTACGAAAAAGGGGGCGGGGGGTGTTGATTTGGGACTAGCCAGTTGTCGCTATTCATTTAACACTAGCCTTACCCTTCTTCTTCGTCTTTTGTCGTCTCACTGATACCAGGATGTAGCCCAGTGTCGTGGTTTTATGTATTTGTCTTGAGCAAATCTGGTCAGTTGGGTGATGGATTTATTTATGTTTTTACAGCTTTCAGCTACACCGTTTATCCATGTCTTTTTTGGTCTTCCTCTCGCCTTCCTCCCGAGTGTTCTGCTTTAAAAAATCTCACGTGCAGTTTGGTCTTGCTGCATTCTCAATTGACGGTTGAACCATTCTTTGTATGTCAGTATAATCCAGAAATGATCTTATTCCAACTTTCTCTCTAATCCTGTTATTGACCCTATCCCTTACGCCCACTATAATATGGTACTGTCCAGGGAAATCAATAGGAATTCTGTACGAAAACTCGAAGCCGACGAGATGGGGTCATTTAAAATTAGAAGTACCCAAAAAATGTTAACTATGAAAATGGTTAGTGACACATGAATAATTTATACGTAAACAATTGACAAGTGTACGACAAAAAACACTCGCGTAAAAAAATGGAAAGGTAACATCACGTAAAAAGACCCGTTTGTGGGGAGTGGAGCAAATGTATGATCGCGTTTCTGAATAGGTATATACAGAAAACACTTTCCCTGCAATCCTGTCACATTGACACGATATTCGTGGCAGTAACAATAAAGTATTGAGGTAGTCTGAATATAAACAGGCATGTTTATGAGGTAGTTTGAATATAAACAGGCATGGTAATGAGGTAGTTTTATTATAAACAGGCATGGTAATGAGGTAGTTTTAAATATAAACAGGCATGGTAAATGAGGTAGTTTAAATATAGAAGTCAAGTAATGAGGTAGATTAAATATATAATTGGAGTAATGAGGTAGTTTAAATATTAAATATAAACAAAAGTAATGAGGTAGTTTCACTATGTACATCCATCAAATAATGAGGTAGTTTCAGTATAAACAAAGGAAGTAGTAGAGTAATTTAAATATACACAAATATTATGTAGTGGTGAAAGTAAATTGACGTCATAGTTTAGGTATGAACAAGCCAATCATCAGTTAGTGTAAATATGAACAAAATGAAACAATAAGGTAGTTTAGTATTAACAAAAGCCTGTTAGTAAGGTATCTGAAAAATAAACTTGCCAATTTTGTTTTAATGTAACGAAGTGAAACTATGAAGTCACACATTAATTAACATCAGTTAGCCAGGTAATTAAACACAGGCAAACTTAAAGTAGCCAGATTATGTAACGAGAAACCAATGTAAAACAATGAGGTACTTTACTTAGGAAATAAAGAGGTAGTTTGAAATATAAATACCAAGTAAAAAGGAAATGTTAAATACCTTACGGGCGCGGTACAGTTGTATTTTTTAAAGACACAATCAATAAGATGTAATTCTGAAAAATGCATGAACAAAAATTAAACTCTTGTCTTGTAACTGCGTATATTAAATATTTGAGTGGGAAATAAAAAGCATGAAAAGTAAAGTTACATTAATCATTGGGTAAATATCGTTGTCAGTTGATAACTGAATAATATAAACATGTCTTTTCCTTTACTTTACACTGTTGGTGGATAACTGGAAATCAAACAAGATTTGCCTGGATAACTGGGTATTATGATACGGCATTCTCTTTATAGCGCGTGTCCTCGAAGGAATAATATAAAATGTGTTTATATATATTTATATGTATGTTTCTATATTTGTTATTTGTGTTGTGGCAACTGTATATAATAAAAACGTAAATGTCTTTATAGTTTATGTCGATAACTTCAGAAAATGCAATTCCTGTCTTTATCATTTGTGACATATTTATGCTTTCTCCCGAGGAAAGCTTTAGTTGTTCGTCCAATTCTGGATTTGGTTTTGTTCCAGACGGGGTGAAAGGGGATAAACAAATTGGGGGGGGGGGGGGAAGGGGGGGGGGGAGAGGGAATTATAACTTTTGGCAACAACAAAACAATGTTTATATTGGTTAATTCTCTCTGAGGGAGCAACGCTAAGGTTGTGGCCAGACAATCGCCAGAAAACCCGAGGGTCATGGGCTCCAATCCCCATAGAGTCTGACTGTGGTTCACAACTGGCATTGAGATCGACCTAGGTGCCCAAGCTTTTGAGAAATGAAGGTGGTGGGCCTGATGTTAACCGCATCACAGACTGAACGTCAACTGGACTAGAAAAAATATAAGTATAGCAAATAAACCAGATGGTTCATTACAAACCTCTTTACTTTACAACTTTGGTCTGCTCTTGAAGCTACAGCATATGATTATGTTTGCTATCGTTATTACTTGTATCATTTCCATATTTGTCATTACTACTGTTCGTTATTACAGCTATAATTAACTATCTACAATAAGCTATCTTTACAACAATCATTAGCACAGCTATACTCACCACAACTACCATTATATCAGCTACCGTTATATTATCGTTAAATCATCTCAGCTATAATCATTGCAGCTATCAATGTCTCAGCTATCGTTATACTACAACAGCTACCCTTATCCTAAATATTGTTATATTATCTCAGGCATAATCACCACTGCTACATTACGTCAGCTGTTCTTATATTATCTAATATTGCCCCAGCTATAATTACCACAGTTACCACTATCTCAGTTATCATTGTTATCGTTTTATTACATCAGCTATAATCACCACAGTTACCACTATCTCAGTTATCATGATGTTATCGTTTTATTACATCAGCTATAATCACCACAGTTACCACTATCTCAGTTATCATGATGTTATCGTTTTATTACATCAGCTATAATCACCACAGTTACCTTTAACTCAGTTATTCTTATGTTTCTAATTACAAGGCTAAAATCAGCACAGCTATATTATTTATATCAGCTATCAATACCACAGTTACATCAAACTAGTCAAGTCTTGAAACCAAACACTGATTCCACCAGCTTTCTCAACACAAGTGCTTCAGCAGCTGGAGCAGCGATTCCCCACAGTACCAGCAAGACTAGACATGTAGCCAGGACATCGTTCCTAGTGTTCTTAAGTTAGCACAGCTCTGGAGTAGCTGGACAATTACAACACGTGATATCAGAGAAACTAATTTGTAATGAGGTGTTGTTTAAACAATTCACTCAGAAAAGGCTCTACACATTGCTGGATTATCGTTGTCTTCAAGGACACTCTGGTGAACAAACGATCCTGAGATATCTCTAGCAGCGAGGTACACAGAACAGGCTGCACAAAAGTTCTTACCAACTAACTAGTCAAGCAAGACCAGACTTGGTGCTCAGGCCTAGATGCTCTGACAGGTGAACTGTAAAGTAAGTCTTATCCTTGCAGTCTTCTCCGCAAACAGAGCACAAGAAGGGTCGGGAGACATCAGACTGGTGGTACTTCTGGTGGAGCCGAAACATGGCATATTCCGTGAAGTAAATCTCACAGAAAGAACACCGGAACATCTTCCCAGAAGCTAGCAGTGACAGCAGCAGCTCTTGTAGGTGGTTTTCGCTGATGTTCGTCGGACTCGGCGCCGAGTTGGCTGGACTGCTGTGATGGCTGATCCCCGACGGACTAGCATGAGCTTGGATGTTGGAGTCGGTACAGGACGACGAACCTACAGGACTTCCCGCAGAAGACTGGTGATGAAGCGAGGACGTGGATGATTGAACCAGTGGACTTGGGCAGCACATGTTTACCTGAGCAGCAAAATCTTCTGTAGAAATTTTCAGAGCTTCTTTGGACTCATATTTCACCTCGGTTTTGTCTTGTAATTTGTTTATACCCTGGTACTTTTCAGTTTTCGATAGGAAATTCTGAGCAAACGGATTGCACTCTTTAATCATTTCACCTGGTTCTTCAGCTTCTACTTTTACGCTACCTCCATTTTTCTGGATATTGTCAACTGGTGGGCTATTTCTACTGTAACTATCCGAATCTTTTCTTTGAGCTCTGATTTTTTGGACTCGTTCGTCCTCTTCAAGTACTGATTTACGTTTTCCAAGACTTAAATTCAGGGCGTCTGACTGTACCGCGTGTGGGACTCCATGGTTGGAAGAATAGGCAGAGTATGGCATCAGATGATTGGAGGATGCGTAAAACTGGTACAAATGGGGCGTGGCGGCACCCGGATAAGCAAAAATATTGGCCGCTGCTACAGCTGCAAGTCCACCCACCAGAGGAGACGTCATGGTCTGCGATGGAAGAAAACTTGAAGAGACTCTGGGAGAGCTAGCACTCACTGGAGAGGTTCTTGGAGACGTGACTCTTCCAACTGAATTGTATCTATCGATGTCTACGCTGGACATGGTGGGTTGTATGGACGACCGAGCATGAGATGTGTAACCGAATGATTTGTTAAGCTGATGGTCTGCGGTAGCAGTTTTGTGATATCTGGAACCGGCCTGACCCTCTGTGGTGTTTGTGAGAGCTGCTGTTACGTGTGTGGTATGAGAAGCAGTGGGGATAGAAGCAGATGTGGAGGTTATGTTCATGCCATTACCTGAACTTCTCATCGGGGTGGTATTCTGATCGAACAAGGCGTAGTCCAGCATGTTGTTTCTGGACACCTTATGGCGTCGGCCATGGCGTCTCAGGGTGGACCCTCTTGTGAACCTGGCTCCGCAAATCTGGCATTGGTAGGGTTTGAGTCCTTGGTGAAGCTTCATGTGGGACTTCATGTTATTCTTGTAGCCAAATCTTTTGTTACAGATTGGACATTCGTATGGCTTTTGATCTGCATGTGCTCGTTCGTGAAAACGAATAAAGGATTTGGCAAATGCCTTGTTGCAAATTTTACAAACTTCCGTTTCTTCATTGCTGAGACCTGCTCCGTTGATAAATGGTTCTACTAAGTCGTTATTTTCGTGACTTTTCGATTCTGGCTCTGCTTCTTTGAGTTCACTGGGCAGGCTGTCTGCGCTTCTTCTCTGTGACAATGTACTTTTATCTTTCGTGTCTTGTTCGCTGTCAGAAACCGCTCCTGACTGCGCTATGTTGCGTTCTGAGTTATCCAGTAGAACGAAATATTTCAGAGAGCAAGCTTCTTGTTTAGTGATGGTGTGATCTGCCAGAAGATGTGATTTTAGATCAGTGATTTCTTCGAATGTGTTAGAACATTGTTTACATGTGTATGGTCCCTCATTGTGGTGACGGATCAGGTGGATGCGCAGGCTGTAGGCGCAATGGAACGCATGAGAACACAGACAGCATCCAAATGATTTGGTCTGATTATGCAGAGCTTCATGGGCCTGTCGTGTTATGATGTCTGAAAATGACTTTTTACAAAACTGGCATGTGAGATGGTCATAAGAGGAATTCTCACTTATTGAACCTGAGATGTTTTCTTCTGATTTCTTCTGTCCGTCATTGCCTTCTATGTAACTACTACCATTTTCGTTAAACTGCTCCTCATCCTCTTCAACTTCATCCTCGTCTTCTTCATCCTCTTCCTCTTCATCTTCCTCCTCGTCCATAGACTGGATTTTCATATACTGCTCCTGAGCCCGCTCTAATCTGGCTTTCTTATTCCACACAATGGGTGGCGGGGACGTGGTCTTCAAGCGAGCTCCGGAGATGTTAGCAACTGCTATTTTGTTCCTGTAGTCGGCTTTCTCATGACTAGCTTGTTTCCACTCTTCATCCTTGGCAGACAGAACATGTGGACTGGCAGAATCTCTTCTGTTAACCACGGACGGTGACGACGATCTCGTTTCACCAGGCTCCGGCGACGGCGACCTAGTCATATCACGAAGACTTGATGCTGGGAATACAGGGATCTGTGACCTGATGTGAAAGTCTGCGCTTTGCCTGGGAGAAAGGTCCACCCCTGAGTTAGCAAGGAATGATTTGCTGGCCAACGAGACGGTTCCCAAGAGTGAGCTATGAGTGCCATTGTGCTCCCGAGGTTTCGAATTGGGCGATGATGCTGACGATAGCCAAGAAGTGCTATCAGATTCTTTTTTCACCTGCAAAGAATTGCTGTTCTGGTCAAGTGATGACAGGGCCGCAGCAGACAATGTGTTGTAGAAATGCGACCCGTATGTATGTGCGTAGCTATACGCTGCGGCAGCGCTTCTAGAAGGACTCGAACCTAACGCAGAGGCTGGAGAATAATGGGAAGGATAGGCAGGGTGTAAGCTGTGGGGCGGGGAGGATATTGAGGGCAGGGCCGATGACAAATTTGCTGCCGCCTGAGATGACGACGAAGTGTTGGAAGTACTTGTACTATGAACCATAGATGATTGTGACTGGCTAGAAATGGCGCTGGCCGTTTCTTTGTAGCGCTGCTGCTGTTCTTTCAATGCTGCTGCTGCTGCCGCCGCTGCTGCGGAATTTTCCTCACTTTTGGCCAGACTGTTAGACGCTCTCAGAAGGGGACAACGGCGCTCATGATAGCGCCTAGTTGTGGATCGAGTGAACACTTTGTTACAAAATGTGCACATGCGGGACTTTCTTGGGAAGCCATTGCTGACGTAATTGTACAACTCAGATCCGAAGTTGTAGGTCGGCATCTGCACACCGGAGAGACCATATGGGAACTTGTTGACGTTTGGGTAGCTTATGTTCAGAGCCGAGCTAGCGGGCGAGGGTGGCCCGCGAGTGTAATTTGTGCTTTCTCTGGCACCACCCCCTCCCGAAGTCGATCTCGGGAAGGCGTCATAGGTGAAGTCTGGCGGGCTAGATCGGGAGTTCGAAACTGCTCCAACGCCCGTTCTGGGGCCAGCAATGGAAGTGTAGCTCGGAAGCAGTCGATGAGGTCCGCTGAGGTAACCTCGATTGGCCATGGCCAACGATGTCGAAAAAACGTTGTAAAGCGAGATCCGGCTTGTTTGTGTGGCAGGAAGATAGAGTACTGAGATTCGAAAGTGGTCGTTGCGACCTGCTGTTTTCTGTCAGACAGACACGATTATTGCTTGCTGTGTGTGCGGGATTTGTGTTTTCAAGGGCGAGGTGACGTTCTCCTCCTAGATGCATCTCGGATTCCACCCTATCATAACCTGAGTTCTGAAATGACAAGAAGAAAAAAAATGGTCAAACATTGTAAATCACTCAAGTGGTGAATCAGTCAAGTGGTGAATCACTCAAACAGTAAATTACTCAGGTGGTGGTAAATCGTTCAAAATTAAAGCTTTCACTTTTTCTTTCTCTATTTTTCTCCCTCTTATTCGTTTTCTTGCTGTTTCTTCTCTCCACTTCAACCAGTTAAAATATCACGTACAAAGCCAACATTCGAATGGACGAACAACCAGGACTTTCCGCCGGAGCTTACAGCCGGTGAAACAAGGAAGAAAAAGACACCAACATTACGTACAAAAATACATTTTTTGTATACACAAATTATCAATATTGCATTGTATAAACATTTTTGTACAGAAATTATCAGTATTACATACTATTAACATTTCTTGTACAGAAATTGTAAAAACTACATATTATAAACATTTCCTGTACAAAAATTAGCAGCGCCAATAGAGTAAATATTTTTTGTACAGAATCGTTAACATTACATACAAGGAGACTTCTTGTTCAGAAATTATCAACATTACATACAATAAACATTTCTTATACAGAATCACCAACATTACATTCAACATCACGTACAATAAACATTTCTTCTACAGAATCACCAACATTACATTCAACACCTCGTACAATAAACATTTCTTGTACAGAATCACAAACATTACATTCAACATCACGTACAATAAACATTTCTTGTACATAATCACCAACATTACGTACAATAAACATTTCTTGTACAGAATCACCAACATTACATTCAACATCACGTACAATAAACATTTTTTGTACAGAATCACCAATATTACATTCAACATCGCGTACAATAAACATTTCTTGTACAGAATCACCAACATTACATTCAACATCACGTACAATAAACATGTCTTGTAAAGAATTACCAACATTACATTCAACATCACGTACAATAAACATGTCTTGTACAGAATCACCAACATTACGTACAATAAACATTTCTTGTACAGAATCACCAGCATTACATCACGTATCACGTACAATAAACAACAACCAACATTACATTCAACATTACGTACAATAAACATTTCTTGTACAGAATCACCAGCATTACATTCAACATCACGTACAATAAACATTTCTTGTACAGAATCACCAACATTACATACAAAGGAGACTTCTTGTACAGAAATCAGCAACCATGACAAGTTGGTGCGAAAATACACAACACGTGGGACAATTCCCCCCGAGGTGCCGAGTCAATCAAATGATGGTAATTCGCCCTGTGGGTTTCGTGAGCCCATTGCGGGGGAATCAAGAATAGACCCTCTGCCTTAACAACAAGCATGTCGTAAGAGTAAACTAATTGGGGACTTCCTACGAAGAGGGAGTGCATCGGCCCGAGCAGTTAGAACAACCAACTGCACACAAATAAGCCAATAACACGGATATACAGCCAAAACGCAGACCTGACACAAAGGTCCAAATGGACGAACAACCAGGACATTGCGCCAGAGTTTACAACCGGTGAACAAGGAAGAAGTGATAATAATCATTTAAATCTAAAGCTTCTGTTTCTTCTGTCTCTCCCCTACCCCTCTCTCCTCCTCTCTCTCTCTCTTGCTCTCTCTCTTGCTCTCTCTCTCTCTCTCTCTTGCTCGCTCTCTCTCTCTCGCTCTCTCTCGCGCGCGCTCTCTCTCGCTTACTCTCTCTCTCTCTCTCTCTCTCTCTCTCTCTCTCGCTTTCTCTCTCTCGCTTTCTCTCTCTCGCTTTCTCTCTTTCTCACTTTCTCTTGATCTCTCTCTCTCTCGATCTCTCTCTCTCGCTTTCTCTCTCTCTCTCTTGCTTTTTCTCTCTCTCGCTTTCTTTCTCTCTCTGGCTTTCTTTCTCTTTCTCTCTCGCTTTCTTTCTCTCTCTCTCTCGCTTTCTTTCTCTCTCTCTTTCTCTCTCTCTCGTCTCCGTATAACAAACCATTTTTATGACAGTCTGATTACTAAAGTAAATCAGGCATATTAGGCTAGACTTATATTTGTATGAGGTGTCCCCATGGATGTGAGGTGGTCAACGCCACTCCGGCCGTCATTACTTCACGTGAATTTACATGTTACCCGTTAGAAGCTGAATCGTTCTGGTTAGGCAAAGTCATGTTTGAAACAATGCCGGCACTATGAGGATTTGACCCCGTGACTTTCGGATCCGCTACACCACGGCGGCTCCGGCTGATCGTATTCTGTGATATTACCATGACTAGCGTATGGCAGCACATCAATACATATCCTCAGCGTTAACGAAACAGGCTCTAACGGAGCCCCAAGAATGCACGGCCTAGCGCAGAAAATGGACCCGAAACTATTAGTGCTACTGTATACAGTGCTATTTCCATGACTAACGTACTGGATACTAGTGTAGAGCTTTGGGAGAGAACTAAGCAAGCTTCAGTAAACCAAGAGGTAAAGAAAAGACACTGGCGTTGGATAGGACACACACTGAGAAAACCGGAGAACAATATAACTAGAATGTCTTTGCTTTGGAAGCCACAGGGGCATAGGAGTAAAGGAAGGCCAAAACACATGGAGAAAGGGGCTGGAGAATGAAGTTAGAAAGATGGGGAGGATATGGGTAGAGCAAAGGACAGAACTTGTTAGCGTGAGTTGGTTGAGGGCCTATGTTCCATTGGGGAGCTAGAAAGGCAGAAGAAAGGAGAAAAACAGACTGGATATATTCACACACAATACCAGCTCTGGCTACAGAAAATACTTCTTAAACGTATACTGTGTTGTTTTCATGATTAACGTATCGCGATAGTATATTTTCTTTGTGCTTGAGGATTTAGGGCCTCAAGGCTAGTGCTGTCGCCACGACTGTGCAGATGAGGCTTTAATTTTGCCCCCAACAGAAAAAATCCCCAGCCTTGCCGAGGATTTGAACCTGAGTCTCCTGTTTGAGAGCACAACGTTATAACAGATGGGCCAGCCGGTCCTTCCAAAGCACAGACATTGAAAACATAAGTTATGCCCGGCCGTAGATAGCGGGGGGAAAAAACAACGACGGTAAATCTATCTTAAAATAGGTTAGTTGCGTATCCTTTATAGGACGTTGCAGAACCAACCCCAGCAGTCCCTGGCTGTTGTTTGGTTTCTCTAGGCAAATTAACGTCCAGCAGTTTGCCACCGCTTCCTAGACGGTCGGCCCCCTGATACCACTGAAAAAACAACGCAAGGCGCATGGCCAGCAGCTGGGATCGAACCAACACCCCGGCTTTACGAAGCGTTCGCATCGATTTAGCCACAGAGCCGACTATCTTAAAATACTTAATTTATATGTTAAATTGTTTTTATGACTGACACATCAGAACATAACAGAAATCAGCAACATTACAAATTGTACCTCATATAACAAACGTTTCCTAAATCGTTGACTAGATCGATTTCATGTTGTCAACAAACTGTTATTTCTACGACTATCATATAGTAGCACGCTGACAAGTGCTGTATTTTCACACATAACGTCAACGCTGACTATATATTCTTTACTTGATAGGATATTAAACGACTGAAAACACCAAACACAGAAAATACATCGCAAAAAGTAACGTCTGCATCACCCAGCAATGTTTGATCGCAGACAAACCCCCAAAGGGAATAAAGTAAAATTTGCAGGGAAAGCACAACACACACAAAAACACATCGTAAAGTAACGTCTGCATGACCCAGCAATATCTCATCGCAGACAGACCAGAAAGAGAATAAGGTAAAAATTGCAGGAAGGTAAGAGACACAAGAGAGAAGGAGGCGGGATGGGCAGGAGAGCGCGTAATGAGAAAAGAGTCATGCAGATGAGAAATAGTCAATGTGGGGGAGGGTTGTGGCCGTCGAATCAATTTACTGTCCGTTAGGTGAAGGAGAGTGAAGAGGAGGGGAACCGTGTGGTCAGCAGTGAAGTTTTCTTTTCCATCGAGTAACCTATCTAGATGTGCGCAGAGCTGCTGGTTGCTGGCATGCTCCAGTTCTCACTCACTCCGGCGCCACGATCGATACCAACGTGCAGCGAAAACGACCCGGAATTAAACGTGACAGAAGAGGCATTTCCATAGCGTCATATATTTGCGTGCACCGCGAGGGCGTCATGGGGGAAAGATGGCGAGGACGCGCGACAGCATGGTAACAGGAAGACGAGAGCTGTGAGAAAATCCACAATACAATGTCTGACACACACAAACACACCCACCCACCCACACCAACAGTGGATAACACATTCTCCACCTGTAGGCAACACTTCCAACAGTCGACAACGTAATTCTTTAAGTGTAGGCAATAATACATCACTTCCAACAGTAGACACACACACATGTATACGCACACACACACACACACACACCCCCACATATATACAAGCGCACACACACACACATACAAATAGGCAATATAACAGGCCAGTAAAAGACAACACAACAGTAGACAACACAATTGTCGGCAATAATACACAACTTTCAACAGAAGACAAAACAGTTCTCCACTATAGGCAACAATACATTAATTCCAACAGTAGACAACACAATTCTCAACGTGTATGCAATAATACATCACTTCCAACAGTAGACAACACAATTCACCAACTGTAGGCAATAATACATCACTTCCAACAGTAGATAACAAAATTCTCTACCTGTAGGGAATAATACATCACTTCCAACAGTAGACAACACAAATCGCCAACTGTAGGCAATAATACATAACTTCCAACAGTAGACAACGCAATTCTTTAAGTGTAGGCAATAATACATCACTTC